ATCAAATTGCATCTCTTCCTCACATCATATACAAAATGATGTATTAAATGATGTATACTCCAGATGTATTAAAAATTTAAGTGCAGGGGCTTCCCTGGTGGCACAGTGGTTGAGAGTCCGCCTGCCGATGCAGGGGACACGGGTTCGTGCCCCGGTCCGGGAAGATCCCACATGCCGCGGAGCGGATGGGCCCGTGGGCCATGGCCGCTGAGCTTGCGTGTCCGGAGGCTGTGCTCCGCAACGGGAGAGGCCACAACAGTGAGAGGCCCGCGTACCGCAAAAAAAAAAAAAAAAAAAAGAAAATTTAAGTGCAGAAACAAAACTTAAAAAAATATGTGAATAGAATTTAGCCATGGAGTAAGGAAAAGTTTTTAAAACAAAAATAAAAAGCATTGACTGCAAAAGGAAAAATTAATAAATTTGACTACATTAAACTTAAGTACTTTATCTTAAAGAAAGTGAAACATTACAAACTGGAAGAAGATGTTTGCAATTCATGTAACTGATAAAGGATTAGTATCATGAGTATATAAAGAGCTCCTAAATATCAATTTTAAAAAACACACACTAACAACCTAGTAGAAAAATGAGCAAAAGACCAGGCTTTTCACAAAAGAGAAACTACATATGGCCAATAAACATGAATTCTAACAATATGAAGTATTAGAGATAATATGAATTTATAGAATCTTTTATACACTTCTGGTGGGAATTAAATTAGAGCAACTATTGTGGAAAACTACTAAAGTTTTATCTACTAAAGTTAAACATGCCAATACCCTAATGACACAATAATTATTCCACCTCTAGGTTTATATACAGGAAAACTCCTGACATGTATACCAAGAGGCATGTACAGAAATGTCCATAGCAGCACTTTTCAAACAGTAACTATTTAGAAACAACCCAAATGCCCATCAACAGAAGAGTGAGTAAATCATGGAATATTCACACAATGTTATACAGTAGAGCAGTTAAAACCACTGAACCACACTGCCACATGTAACGATATGGATTAATCTCAGAATTACAACAGTAACTGAAAAGAGTATATGCTCCGTGAACTTTTTTCATAAGGCTAAAACAATTAAAATAAAAATATGTTCAAAAAATGCATACAGGTTCAATGAAATTATGTAAAAAGGGAAGCAAGACAATGACCAATATGGAATTCAGGGTAATGGCTACCCAGGACAAGGGACACAGAAGGATTGTTCAGGAGCCATCTGCATCTCCAGAGTCAGATGTAGGTTATGGTAAAGGTCCTATCTTTTCTGTTGGGGGGCGATTTCACTGGTAATTCTTACATTATTTAAAATAACTAGCTAAACAAATAGAAGACTAGAAGGGGACCATACATAGATCACTAATGGAGAGTGTGTCAACGATCAAGGATTATGATTAGTCAGCTCATGCACCTACAGTTTAAAAGAAAGATGAAAAGAAAGAAGTAAAGAAAAATGAGGACAAAAGAGAAAACAAATTATGTGTGCAGGATGTTATATATTATAGATGTTATATATTATATATAAACTTCATTTCAAAATAGTAAAGAGGGCTTTGGAAGATATTTGTTATAAAAGGGAGGAACAAGGTACCTGATAGGGTTGCAAAACACTGCTCTAGCCAAATGAGGGTTCACTTTTATTATAAATTCTGACCCTCCATGTCATGTTATATCACTCTTAAGGCACTGCGTATATCGCCTGGGTTGTGATTTTTTTTTTAATGTATTTGTAGTATCTCCCCTGGACTGTATGTATGTTTCTTGAAGGTTCTGAATTCTCCACAATGTACAGTGCCTTGGGTAGAGTAAGCACTCATTAATTTGTCGAAATAACAAAATACACTATTTAACTTGGTACTTTAATTTCTTGAAGAATCAGGTTTAATGAAGACACTAGTTTATGCCAGATAACTGCCCTCCACGTTCCGGAGTTTATCAGGCACTCAGGAATACAACATCTGAAGTATCAGGAGAACGTCTACTCCTGGATGGCAGATGTTTAACTCGGTAATTTTGGTCCATACTTGTTTAAGCCTAAAATACTCTAATTTAAAGATTCCCAAGGAATCTCAATAGCTCCATTTATGTAATAATAATAGATAAAGTATATTAAGTATTTACTATGGGCCAGATGCTTTGTATTATCTTGAACAAAGAAATTATTTTGGTCTCTTTTACCCATAAGGGAACCATGATTCAGTGAGGTTAAGAAACTTTTCCATGTCTACATTGTTGGTGATGGCAGAACAGTGATTTGACTTCAGGTGGTTTTATACCAAATTAGCCTCTTTCAAATATGTTATGCCACCTGGGGACATTTTCACGTCTTGATCAATTTTTTGTTTATTTCTTTGTTTTTTGTTTTTATAGGTCCTTTACATATAGAAGGCAAGGTTGCAGGGTTCCATTTGCCAAGGCCAGAGAAGGACAAAACCTAAAAGTTAAAGGCTTAATGAGGTCCCCACAGTAAAACTCTGAAATAAGAAGGGAGATAAAATGCCTTGAAATCTTTGGAAGAGTTCTAGGAAGAGATGAGGGAAAGCCATTTAGGAGAAGTGTTGCAGATCCAGGAGAGAGATGGTGGTGGCAGAAACCAGAGCAATGGTAGTAGAAATTGGAGAGAAGTATAGAGAGTTGAGGTATTTTCAGAAGCAGAATTGTCAGAACTTGATTCTTTGGACCAGGGGAATGTGGGAGCAGGAGGCTTGAAGAACAGGTTTGGTTTCTGAGTTGGTCTCTTAGTCCACCAGCACAGGCCCTGGGTGTGTGTTCCATAACTCTCCACGGAGAAAGCCTTGAAAACTAGTACACTACTTTTCAGACAATTGGATAGCTGGTTATCAACACCATCATGGATGGCTCTCTGCTGGAAAAACATTTTGGAGGCTTTGCAAGCCAGAAAATGTGTTCAGAGGCTGATGACATTCTTCTTTTAGGAATATCATCTTCTGACCACAGATTCAAAGACCTTCCCCATCCATAGCTGTACTGTAGAAATGAAAAAAGCATAGACAGAATATATCTGACTATGAAAGGTACCAGTCTTGGAAGAAAGAAGTGATATTACGAATCATTTCTTGCCTCTTGGAAATGAGAGCAATGAAAAAGGCTCAAATGATCTGATTTAGGTAACAGTGCATTCCACAGCACACTCCAACTGCAAGGAATGAATTTTTCAATGGCAGTACCCAAAATTGTGTGTTCTCTGCTAATTCCTTTTTACAAATCATAATGTTATTGTGTTCTGCCTAATAAATTAGTTTGGATAATAACACCATAAGCCTTGAAATAGAAACCCATTTGATCAAAAGCAAGATAAATCAAGAAGGAAATATATTACCATCTAAAATATTAATAGAGCTGGAACTATCAGAGAAAAAAGATTAAGCTCTCAATGAGGTTAAATTTCTCACCATCTGAGCATAAACGTTCCCAAGTGTTGATTCATACAGTCTTTTCCAAAAGTCTTAAAAGATTGAACAGATGCTCCTAAAGGTCAGTAAACTACATTACACATTTGGCACTAATTTATTCTTTTCTTCCCTGATTATAGGGTGGAGGGGGATGAGAGGTGAGAGGTGGTGGAAGAAGGGTCGGTTTTATCATCATCAATGGACACACGGAGACAAAAAATAAAGCTGGACTCCAGAGGAAGCAAGGAAGCTGAGCCTCTCAATCTGCCATCCTGTATAGAATGGCCCGAAATGAATAGAAGACAGAAATAACAACTTGGAAAATGATTCTGCAGAAGGCCTTCCTTTATCATAGAAGATGTTTAACCACAGCTGTGGTTGAAACACTCATAGAAAAACAATGTCAAAAAGATATGGCTATTTTTACAAGATACATAAAACAATCATTTCCAATTAGTTTTAAAAGAGAATGCCAAATAGAATATACATGGGATTTGATCATCTCACACTTTGATAGGCAGAAACACAAGCATGTTAAGAACCAAACATCATGCTTTTAGCCCCTATACATTTTGCCCAAATGGAATTCCCTACATGGTAAACATGTCTCCCATTATGCAGCAAAATCCACCTGAGCCCAACACCATTTTTCTAAAGTCTAATTTCTTTCAGTAGGCACTAAATCTTTTTACTGCAACCACCAAATGCTTTCTTATTGCTAGAAATGGTACAATACACAAACTTTTTGATATATACTCTAGCTTTTCAAGATTCTGTTGGAAACAAAATGATCCTTTATGACATTTAAAAAATTCCACCTCATTTATTACTTTCCTGAATTACCATCATTAATTGAAGGACCTTCTTTTACGGCTCCCCCACCCTCCCCCCCAAAGCTAATCTATTCCCCAACTGCCTGCCATAGACTAAATAAAAGTCAGTCTATCACAGCAGCAGGGATGGTCATGCCAATTTCACAGCGTGATTTGTGCACTCATTTTATTTTGCAAATGACCCTGCCCTCCATCTGTCTAAGCCGAATGTCCTGCTTTTTCCAAGCCAGGCCTCAGGAACAGCAGCACATGAAATAAGGAGGAAGGCACAGAACGTCTCCCTCCTGCCCGCTTCAGCAGCCACACAAAATCAGAGAAATCTGGGGGAGAGCAGAGTCCTTCTATTTTGCTTATATCCCCAAGAAGCATTTGAAGGTGAATGCTTTCATGACGCAAACACAACTCTGAAAATCAGACTGATAGACTAAACATATAAAAGGCAATTTCCAGTTTTCATGTTCTGTCTTCTTATCTTGATTTAATAACAACTTACCCAAAGTAACATCTCAATATAAAAAAACCTAAAATACGTAAGAATTTTAAAAGATTGAGCCTTTTAGATAATTTTTTCCCCTAGAGCTAAGTGTCAATCAGGCAAGCATAAAGGAGAAGACACCCTATTCCTTGATCATTCAGCAGCACTCGGTGCATCCCTCAAACCATGTACCTCTTTTAGGTTGAAGACCAGAAAGAACTGCAGCCAGAGAATAAGAAGCCTCGGAGTCAGATTACAGCGGTCTTCCTTACCTGTTTTCTCTGGGAATCTTGGGTGGCCCACTCAACCCCTTTGGAATGGGTGCAGTTTGTCCCTTTCTTGGTATTCATGCAGTGGAAGGTTCCTTGTCCAGTCTCAGAATTCAGAAAAACACAGCTTTGGCAACCTTGGCAGCAAGGGAGAAGAATGTATGAGTACATGAAGTCAATCGCTTCACAGTGTAGCATTCAGATGCCCTATTGAAGTCTCTTTTTAGCTCTAACAGGTGACTAGGAATTTCACCACCTCCCACTTATCACTTCCTAACATCTGCTCACAGTTGCAACTCAGGGAAGGAAGTTCAAATTCTGCTATCCTAACCCAGTTGCTTGATTTGTTTTAACGGGAAAATAACAACCAAGAAAGCAAGACACTAGTGTTCCCTCAAAGCCGGGCCCTTATGTGATATATAGATTGAATTAATTCATCAGTCACTATCTCCTAATGAACTTAGCTTTTGGATTTCATGGTTTAGCTGCTTCTTTTCTCCATCTGTGATATGTAGAATATGGGCTGATTATTAAGATTAGAGATAATATGTGTAAATAGTCTAATAGAGTGTCGTGCAATAAATATGGTTGATGTTGGCTCCAAAATACACATACAGAAAAGATTTATAGGTAGCAATACTATTAAGGAGGCAGATAATGGATTTGCATTGAAGTCTTTAATTATATAGCAAAGACATGCTTTTAGTCGAACTATGTTTATCCTGGGTGGTAGCAAGGCCAATGGAAATCACAGAAGACTATGAAAGAAAACCCCCTCACATCAGGCCACCAGCGGAGGAACTGCATATGACAAATATTCATATATTACATATACTTATATATGTAATATTTATATATGCAATAATATTACATATATTTATAATCTTGAAAACTGCACACATACTACTACCTCACTGGGATAAGCCAGTTTTGTCTTTTGCTATCTTGTCTGCTTCTCTAATTCTTGACTGAAAAATTGTATTCATTTCCCCCAAATTCTGTAGTCTCCAGATCAGTCTAAACAATGGGTATTTTTTCTAATTAGTGATCCAATATAATTTTGTAGGATAATTAAGTCCCTAGTTTTTCACTGCCCCATAATGGGCACTATTAAATTCAAAAGAATTTATACAAAAATAGCCCCCAAGGTAGTACCATGGAATCTAGAGCATCTATTCCAAATACATGACAAAGGAACAAAAGAAAATCCAGAATGGTTTCTTGTACAGTCCAGCAAATTTCCACAGAGATCTTCAAACTAAGAATCTGAGGGGAAAAAAAATTAAAGTGTAGGAAAAGTTTCTTTTTATTTTAACTGAAGGAAAAGCCACTGTTTATCAGCATAACGATATCCAAAAACATTATTAAAGCCTGACAAGTACAGGCTGGATGTCTGTCTCTCTCTCTCTCTCACACACACACACACACATCAGAGACTAAGTAGGTTGGAGAGGTAAAAGAGTAACAGTACATAGAAAAAGGAACACTTTGGGTCGTGCTTCCTCCTCCCCTCCACCCTTCTTGGAAAACACGAGGTCATGGATTTCTCCAATGTTTCTACCTCGTAGTGAAACTTGGAGGATCAAGGCAGTATGTAGGGCCAAGTTTAAACGCTAATATGAACTCAGTAATATTTGTAGTTTTGGAAAATGGCGGTACGGTGAGATGCAGAGGCGCTTGGAACTAAAGCCAAACCTCTCCAAATACCAGATAAAATCCAAAGCACTCTTTCCTGCTGTCAACTGGAAACGACAGAATAAGAACTCCTGGTCGCTGTACTATTTTCTTCTTAGAAAGTGTGCCCTTGGAGCGGCTCAAAGAAGCTCTACTCTAATTCTGGGAGAATACGAAGCTGACATTCATTCCTCTTTACCCATTCCCGTCTCTTTCACTAAAATAACGTGGAACGACAATATTTGTATGCATTGCACAGTGCATAAGGCTCAAAAACGAAAGGGACTTCGGACCATAAACCTTCCTCCCCAGCGCCAGGGAACGAGGTGACACAACAATCCTTATTTACCATACGAAGGGAAGGCGACGGCGCGACCTCACCCGAAGGTCCGTGCGGCAGAGACTACGCCTCCCAGCATGCAGCACGGCCACGTCCTGACGCCGGCGCCATCGGACCGGTGCATGCCGGGAAGTAGAGTTTTTCCGTCTCTGAACGGCCCAGAGACGTTTCCTCTCCCCTCTAACGCCGCTCACACTCTGCAGTCTTCAGAGGCCAGGTCAGTAATAGGCACACTCATATTCGTGATTGTTTTAAATCCCAGGTTGGTCGTTCTGCTGCAAAGTAACTTTGGGAGCACGCAAAAAAAAAAAAAGGCCCACAAAACCCTCAACATTCTTTGCAGACCTACGTTTCCGGTTGGCTTGTTGCCGTGGTAACGAGCACGCACAACCACGGCAGCGGTTATGGCACGGCTGGGCGGTGCGCAGATCCCCGACGGGGAGTTCACCGCGGTCGTGTACCGGCTCATCCGGGATGCCCGCTACGCCGAGGCCGTGCAGCTGCTGGGCGGAGAGCTCCAGCGGAGCCCGAGAAGCCGCGCCGGCCTGTCGCTGCTGGGCTACTGCTACTACCGCCTGCAGGAGTTCGCGCTGGCCGCCGAGTGCTATGAGCAGCTGGGTCAGCTGCACCCGGAGCTGGAGCAGTACCGCCTTTACCAGGCCCAGGCCCTATACAAGGCCTGCCTTTACCCAGAGGCCACCCGCGTCGCCTTCCTCCTCCTGGACAACCCCGCCTACCACCACGGGGTCCTCCGTCTCCAAGCCGCGATCAAGTACAGCGAGGGCGATCTGCCCGCGGCCAGGAGCCTGGTGGAGCAGCTACTGAGTGAGGAAGGAGGAGAAGACAGCGGGGGCGAGAACGAGCTCAATGGCCAGGTCAACCTGGGCTGTTTGCTCTACAAGGAGGGACATTATGAAGCTGCGTGTTCCAAGTTCTCTGCTGCCTTGCAGGCTTCGGGCTACCGGCCTGACCTTTCCTACAACCTGGCTTTGGCCTATTACAGCAGCCGGCACTACGCCCCGGCGCTGAAGCATATCGCCGACATTATTGAGCGTGGCATCCGCCAGCACCCAGAGCTGGGTGTGGGCATGACCACTGAGGGCATTGATGTTCGAAGTGTTGGCAACACCTTAGTCCTTCACCAGACCGCTCTGGTGGAAGCCTTCAACCTCAAGGCCGCCATAGAATACCAACTGAGAAACTATGAGGCGGCCCAGGAAGCCCTCACGGATATGCCTCCGAGGGCAGAGGAAGAGTTAGACCCTGTGACCCTGCACAACCAGGCGCTAATGAACATGGATGCCAGGCCTACAGAAGGGTTTGAGAAGCTACAGTTTTTGCTCCAACAGAATCCCTTTCCCCCAGAGACCTTTGGCAACCTGTTGCTGCTCTACTGTAAATATGAGTATTTTGACCTGGCAGCAGATGTCCTGGCAGAGAATGCCCATTTGACTTACAAGTTCCTCACACCCTATCTCTATGACTTCTTGGATGCCACGATCACTTGCCAGACAGCTCCTGAAGAGGCTTTCGTTAAGCTTGATGGGCTAGCAGGGATGCTGACTGAACAGCTCCGGAAACTCACCATACAAGTGCAGGAAGCAAGACACAACAGAGATGATGAAGCTGTCAAAAAGGCAGTGAATGAATATGATGACACCCTTGAGAAATATATTCCTGTGCTGATGGCCCAGGCCAAAATCTACTGGAACCTTGAAAATTATCGAATGGTGGAAAAGATCTTCCGCAAATCTGTGGAATTCTGTAATGATCATGATGTGTGGAAGCTGAATGTGGCTCATGTTCTGTTCATGCAGGAAAACAAATACACAGAAGCCATAGGTTTTTATGAGCCCATAGTCAAGAAGCATTATGACAACATCCTGAATGTCAGTGCTATTGTGCTGGCTAACCTGTGTGTTTCATATATTATGACAAGTCAAAACGAAGAAGCCGAGGAGTTGATGAGGAAGATTGAAAAGGAGGAAGAGCAGCTCTCCTATGAGGACCCAGATAAGAAAATCTACCATCTCTGCATTGTGAATTTGGTGATAGGGACGCTCTATTGTGCCAAAGGAAATTATGACTTTGGTATTTCTCGGGTTATCAAAAGCTTGGAACCTTATAATAAAAAACTGGGAACTGATACCTGGTATTACGCCAAAAGATGCTTCCTGTCATTACTAGAAAACATGTCAAAACACACCATCATGCTTCGTGACAGTGTTATTCAAGAATGTGTCCAGTTTCTAGAACACTGTGAACTTTATGGCAGGAACATACCTGCTGTTATTGAACAACCCCTGGAAGAAGAAAGAATGCATATTGGAAAGAATACAGTCACTTATGAATCCAGACAACTAAAAGCTTTGATTTATGAGATTATAGGTTGGAATATGTAGTAATGTCTGACAGTGGCCTTATCATAATGGCTTTACATCTGTTTTTCACTCTTTTATCTGTATTTAGCTATTGGCCTCTTTAGATTTATTACATGTTGAACTTCGTACACTTTAAAATTATAAAACTAACTAATATTTTGTTTTTAAAATCTTCACAAAGTGAAATATAAGAACTTTGACACCTAGAAAGACTTATGAAAAATTCAAAACTGCATGGGGACACTATTTCTATTAGAAATTGTTAGCACCTATGTTCCATCTCCTTTGTTATCATTTGTACTTTGTGCATTTTGAAAGTCCCCTGCACAAGGATTATGTTATCCAGGGACTTGGCACTATCAGGCCCAGAACTCAGTAGTTAAGGTATAGGATTTCTAGGCTTTTAATAAGAACCTCAGGGATTGTGTCCTATTCTCACAGCCTACCCTCATTATTATATTAATTTTAATGCATACATATTAGATAGCCCTTAGGGTGTTTTGTCAGGGTTTTTCAATATAAATGTAATGCTTTATGTAACCAAAATACGTTATAAATGTTTGGTGTTTTTTTTTTTTTCAAACATTCAAGAGTCACTGGGAGATCTTATACCCTTAACAAAATTATGGTGCTGTGGTTTAGAAACAATAAACAATTGTCAAAGCAAGAATTTTACATGGTTTTCTTTGGTTCCGTTTGTTAATAATTTGAATACATGAACAAGATATATTTACTGTTTTTTCATAACTGTGCTCTTATTTAACAATGAGGAATAGCAGAGGTATCGTGAGAACTGTTTTCTTAATTCCTACCTTTGTGTTTGCAATTTAGGATATGTTAATGCTGGAGTTGTTCCTGTGTGGTGGCCTCTCAGGTAAGGAAAAATCTAGACTATTCCCATGATCCCACCAAACTTCTCTCCCACCTCCATCACAGATGAAAAGGTCGATTCCGAAACCTCATCTGGTAGATTCATAACGCTAGGCCATGCCCACAACCCTTCCAATGAAAACCCCACTCATTCTGCTTAGGCATTTTTATTTTCTGAACCATACAAGAGCTTTACTATTTGTTTCCCCACCCCTTTTCTCTCCATAAATCAACCCCAACTCGACCTGACTTAGAGAAAAACAAAGTAGCTTGAATTATATGAAATTGCTGATTTTGGAAGTGTTTGAACTACAAAACTAGCATTTTTTTATGGTTCAATCTAATAGCATTCTACTGAAAGATAGTGAACCCCTGCCATGATGAGATGATGATTTCTTTCCTTCAAGGAGAAATCACTTAGCCACATAGGTACCCAGACAGGGACTCACATAGGTACTCAGCATAAATCCTCTGTAGCATGACCTCCTGGGTGCTCAAATTCTATTAGATCTATCAGAAAATGTGGCTTATTATGAAGTCCAATGGTTTTGAATTTATAGCACTTTTCATCTAATTATGTAAGCTGATACCATTTACCGCTGACGTTTGAGCCCACACTGGGAGGACAATCAGTGTTTAATGACCTCTTCAGTGCATCCCTTAGCACAATTCCATCACTGGGAAATGTTCTTTAACAACTTTTGTACTAAAAGTATTGCTGCTGCTTTGTGCAGTAGCTCTGTGCACTCTCAATCTTCATAGCCCCTTAAGATTTGGAAAGTAAATGAACTGAAATCTTATTTTTTAACAGCCATGTTAAAAAAAAGTTTTTTGCACATTTCCTCTTTTTTTCTTTAAAAAAAAAAGCATAAAATGTAAGTAATGTTAACCACCCAAAAGCAAATGTTTTCCAGATTCCCTTTTGCCAATAGCCCAGCCTTTATTCAACCACACTTTATTTACCCAGGTGCTGTGTGTTTGTGGTTTGCATGTATGTGTAATTTAGCTTTTCAGAATATAAAAAGCTTTTCAGAACAGTTTTTAACCCCTTGCTGCTGGGCAGTTGGGATTTCCTGGTTAGTAATGCATCAGGAAATCCTGACTGCTCCTACCACTGAGTAAAAGGAATAAAGGTCAATCGTGGTGGCATTTGTCCCCTTCCTTACACTGGCTCTCCAGAGAGGCACCCACCAGGATTTATAGATTGCTGCCTGGCAACAGCAAAGACTCATGAACCAAGCCTACAAAACTGGCCAGCCATCAGAGCCCTGGAGGAGACTGGGGAAGGGTCTAACTCCCCAGGCACTTACTGTTCTTTATTTTTAGGATATACTTCTTTTAAATTCACCTTCAAAGTACTCACCTCTGCTTATTGATACTAATAGGCAAGTGACTTTATGATGACTCCACATTGCCATTTGAATGAAGGCTTTCATCCCTAAAGCTCTGATGAAAAGCTTTGTTCTATGCTCCTAGAACTTCATGTACTCCGTGCTAAAAGCACTTTTCTTGACAAAAAAAGATTTCCCTATATTTCTCAAGCCTTTGCTCCTTCAAGATTTCTTCATAATATCTGCAGAGTGTATTTTAAAAAGATCAAATATTAAATCCATTATTCCATAACCTTAGTCAACCCATCTCCACACAAATGTTCAGAATATACCCATGTGTTTGTTGTACCCAAGTAGTTATTTCCATTTTCTCAGACATAAACAAAAACTTATTCTGTGCAGAACAACCAAGCAGACTCATTTGATCAGTGACATGACATGCCTACAAAAGGATTCATATTTCTCATGGCAGCCCCTCTTTGAATTTGCCCTCAGCTGTGGCACGGATATTGACACTAATGTCATCTGTGAAGGTCAGGTGTAGAGTGGCTAACTCTGACCCATTCATGAGAAGCAGACAACTGGGAACTGGGAAAACTGTGGGGATGGCAGAGATCATCGAGCAATGAGACAGCTGTAATCATAGAAGATGACACTCCCTCCCAAAGGGGTGATAGAGGAACATAGAGGTATGGCCTCTCAGACCTCAGAGGAGCACCTCAGGTGGAATCCAAACAGAATTGTCAGTGATAGGTTTGGCCTGAGGTTAGAACAATTTGTGTGTTTGTTGAGGGCTATGGGGTAGATGCCCAAGTAAATAAGCTTCTAGTGAGATAAGAAAGGGCAAATGAGAAAAAAATTTTTTTTTTTAAAGAAAGGGCAAATGGCTTGGAGGGGAAGTGTTAAGAGAGTAACTTTCTGACCCTTCTGCCCTATAATCCTTGCTTGGGCTCATTTCCACACTGGCATTCGGAGGGTTAGCAGTGCTGGAAGCCTGTTCAGGTAAGCAGAATATGGCTATCTATACTAACTGATTTTAAAAGGATAACATCACCAAAGACAAACCTTTCATTTCTGGTGAACATCAGCATTTTTAAATACAATCTTTGGTCTTATGTTCCTTTGTCTTTTTTTTTTTTTTTAATGACTATTGGTGATCTGGAAACATCTGGGAGGTTGTGCTTTCCTGAGGGTATTCTCTGCCACACTGAGCAGCTTCCTACCAATGGTGTGACTTGCAGCTCACTATCCACCATTCACTAACTGCCTCTTATCCCCTGCTGACCTACCACTGGGACTAATGTGACATTTGGGGGTTTCGTTTCCACTTATTGGGCTATATACCCTTAGTATTAGTTAAAAAGCACATTTTGTAATGTGCCAGTAACTCTGGGTTCTTGGTTGTCCAACCACATAATCACCATGACTGTAACCATCAAGCTCTATACTTATACCTTCATTCTAATTATAAAATATATGCAACTTTTTGAGTACCCTAATCCTTCAGCAGCAACCTTAATTCTTAAATTAGCAGTTTTAAGGAACTGTGACTTTCCAAAGAACCTAGATTGGTCTTAGATTATAATAAAACATTTCTTTAATCTTAAATAGTCTTCAGTTTCTAGTCTCTCTACAGGAATATGTATAACTTATAGTAACAGGTTACTCTTACATTTTTAAGTACAGCTCAAAGGAATACAATATTAAAGTTATAAAAATGCAAAGTTATTAAGTCCATCAAACACAGCACTTCCTTTCATGAGTTTCATATTAAATCTATAAAGGCATCAATGCAGGGATTACACATTTACAGAGCACGACAGCATCTGGGACAGAAGGCTTCCTGGTATTTCTATGGCATGTAGTCATGAAGACAGCTGTTTCCCCTCTGTACTTGTGCCCTTCTGTGGAGGGCAATGACTTAACAATCTACTTTAAAAAGCAGAAATTCTGTATACAAAAGACTTACTACCCAGCACAAGCAGCCTAGAGCAGTGAAGCAGCCAGCACAGAGACTGGATTTTGTCGGACCTGGCTCCATCTCCTGGCAATGCCACTTCCCAGCTACTAACAGTGTGTGTTATTCAACGTTGCTAAATCTCAGTTATTTCACCGGAAAAAAGGGGACGATACCATACATTTCACAGGGTTGTTGTGATAACAATTAGAACTTCTTGTCGAGGGTTAAGTGCCCAGCAGTGTCTGGCTAATAATGGTTAAATTAAAAAATAAATTATTAATGCTATAATCAATTCTAGGGTAGTGTTTGGCAAAAATACAGAGACTCATCAGAATCACTGAGACTGACTTAGAAGGGAGCTCAGAGTTATTCATTTTACAAAAGATATTAGGCCCAAATAGGAAAAGTGACTAGTAGTTTGGTAGAGAAAAATGGAGCACCTGCAAAATTTCCAGAATAGAACCCTTTTCACTGTGTTCTTAGACTCAGAACTCCACCTTCTCCTAAGTTATTTCACAGCTTTACAGTGACAAATTTCAGTCATTTAAAAAAATTATCTTTCCAGATCTAATGTGGACACAATGAAGTACAAAGGATGTGACAGAACTATGCAAGAATGGATTCAGAGGTTGTCCATCAGTCAATACTACGCCCAGTCAACAGATCACATCAGAAAATGCAGCACAAGATGAGTTTACGAGTATATTGAAAAAGAAAGAGACATGCCCCTGAAGGCAAACACAGGCAAAAGTAAATGTGATGGCATTTAAAGACTTCATTTGTTTTTCTGATAGGGTAGCACAGGAAATCGGAGCAGCAAGCTTTAGCAAAGGATTTCAGTCTGGCAGCTGGCGATGTTAAATCCAAGTAGACGTCATTTGTATGTTTAATGTTTGTCTGGCATAAACGCTGATTCATTGAAAAAAGGCCTATTTGTTGACAAAATGTAAAAATATGAGGTGAACACAAGAGCATGTCAAGTGGAAATGTGCGCTAGCTGAACCCTGAATGCTCTTTCCTGGATGTGTTATTAGGCAGGCCCTTGTTGTGTGTTGCAGATGCCTGCCATTACTTGGTTGAGAATCCAGACAGTACATGTCTCAATTCTATTGATGTCCCAAATCTGGATGGGACAAAAAATACTCTGGGTAAGAGTCAAGATTCTAAAATTTTGAAAATCTGGAACTAAATACAGTAAGATACACATTTTAGTAAGAATAAATATAAGTAATGAGGCTTTAAAAAAGTCAGCCTCAAGGATTAATCTCCAAAATAAACAAAATAGCTCATGCAGCTCAATATCAAAAAACAAATAACCCAATCAAAAAATGGGGGGGAAGATCTAAATAGACATTTCTCCAAAGAAGACCTACAGATGGCCAAAAAACACATTAAAAGATGCTCAACATCACTAATTATCAGAGAAATGCAAATCAAAACTACAATGAGGTATCACCTCACACTGGTCAGAATGGCTATCATCAAAAAATCTACAAACAATAAACGCTGGACAGGGTGTAGAGAAAAGGGAACCCTCTTGCACTGTTGGTGGGAATGTAAATTGATACAGCCACTATGGAGAACAGCATGGAGGTCCCTTAAAAAACTAAAAACAGAACTACCGTATGACCCAGCAATCCCACTCCTGGGCATATACCCAGAGAAAACCATAATTCAAAAAGATACATGCAACCCAATGTTCATTGCAGGACTATTTACAAGAGCCAGGACATGGAAGCAACCTAAATGTCCATCCACAGAGGAATGGATAAAGAAGATGTGGTACGTACATACAATGGAATATTACTCAGCCATAAAAAGGAACAAAACAGTGCAATTTGCAGAGACGTGGATAGACCCAGAAACTGTCATACAGAGTGAAGAAAGAGAAAAACAAATATCGTATAATATCGCTTATATGTGGAATCTAGAGAAATGGTACAGATGAACTTATTTGCAAAGCAGAAATAGAGACACAGATGTAGAGAACAGATTTATGAATACTGAGGCGAGGGGGGAAGCTGGGGGTGGGATGAATTGGGAGACTGGGATTGACATATATACCTACTATGTATAAAATAGATAACTAATGAGAACCTACTGTTTAGCACAGGGAACTCTACTCAATGCTTTGTGGTGACCTAAATGGGAAGGAAATCTAAAAAACGGGATATATGTATATGTATAACTGATTCACCTTGCTGTACAACAGAAACTAATACAACATTGTAAAGCAACTATACTCCAATAAAAATATAAAATAAAAAATCAGCCTCCATGGAGATGTGGACAAAGTGGCACATGCAGAAAAGACAAACTATTAAATTCAAGTTCAGTGTGAGATGACAGTGCAATGTCCACTGTCCACCAAAAATGCAAGAGTGACTAAAGAATATTGGAATAAGGAATAAGGGAATCATTGGTCCTATTCTGGAACATTCAGAACTCGACATCTCACTTTAAGAACATCAAAAGGGCACATATGGAGAGAGATTAGGATGATGAAGGGTCTAGAACTGACAGGAGCAAGAGGTGACTGAAGAAGATCTGGGGGAATGTGAGCTGTCTTTAAATGCCTGCAGAGCTGCCCTTCAACAGAGCAACTGGGCAATTCTTCATGACTACACAAGACAGAAGTTACGTTAATGGATAGAAGGGGGAAACAGATTTCAGTCTTATAAGTAAAAACCTCAATACTGGAAGATTTCAGAAACTGGGAAAAGGCTTGCTGGAAAAGCAGTAAATTCCCATGTGGTCACAGCACATGTTCAGAAAAACTGGTGATCTATTTGTGGTCTGAGGGGTAGGATGGTCAGATACCAATTGTGTTTGGGAAAAAGATGAGATGATTTCTAAGGTTCATTCAGTCTGAGCCTTATATGAGCCCAGCAGAAAACTGCTTTCTTTAACTAACTATAACTAACTTATTATATAAGAGCTAAACTCTTAGTATGGCAAGTTATTATTTAAACGTGTCAAGTAAGACTGTGTTCGACAGGTCCAATCTTCAGTTATTTCAGAGCCCAGACAACTACAACCTTCCCTCCAGTGTGGGAGCCACAGGCAGGGACAAAATCAGTATCTGTGCACTTGTCATTCACTACTAGAGAGGCTACTTACCGGAACAGACTGTAAAGATTAGATGGAATCAACATGAAAAAATGCAACAATTTCCGTAACAATGAATGGTTTTGGTATTGTTTTATTTTTTTCCCAGCACATCTTAAAAATCACACATGGGCATTTGCTTATAGAACAGTACATTCTAGGAAAAGCAGTAAAAGGAGATCCAAACATACACTGAAAGCACAGTATATAGACTATGTGTTGAGCCCTTTGGAAAACAGTATGGCTCAGTCTGAACTGACAAAGCTATGCTGGACTCCCTTAAGAATTTTCCTTCCCACTACATATCCACTTTTAAGACTATTAATGTAAAGAGAAGAATTGTTTGTATGCATTAGTTACAGCAGTATAATGGCTTACATACAAGTGCTTACCCACATGTAGTTCCCAAAAGATGACTACAGTACTGGCAGGAATATGCACTGCCTTAGAGGAAGACTCAGGATAAGATATTATTCAAGTCAAGTTGTATCAGAGCCAAAGTATTTCACAGGCTTAGCGAAAAAGGACAAAAATTTAAAAATATAACCTACACATATTTCTCAGAAGATTTATCATTGTTCAGAAACAGAAATATTCATTACTCTGAAGGCACCATCACACACAAAAAGGACTGACCCCCAACATAAGGAATAGGAACCCACCCCCCGCCCCTCCTCCAGGCTCTGCTCCTCAGGGAGCTGTGTGAGCAAACACCCAAAACATGTAGGGGGTGTCTCCAGGACCGAGTATGCCACATCCACCAACCCACACCTTAGGGCTACTAAGTTGGGACACAAGGAATGAAAATGCAAGAAAGAAAGTACATGTAAATCCCACTGACTGAATAGGTGTATGTGAGAGTACAGGTCCACCACACAATTAGTTAAATATGCTAGAATAGGTGATTGAAACCAACACTGTGGAAAGGATCTTTTGTGTTTCCACACACAACTACTTCATTCCTGACGCGTTCTTGAAGAGGAATAGCCTTGAACTGCTACACAAGCTCTGGCCTTAAAGATTTATCCTCTCCCACTCATTTTAAATAATGGCTATTTCATGGAAAAAAAAATCCCAACAAGGCACTGTGAGCTTTTGGGGACATTCTTTAAATAGCTCAAAAAATAATTATTTAGAGAAACTTTATACCAGCACAAGCATTTCATGTCCTTTTTGGATATGTGAACAAGATTGCTTTAGGGGTTAAACAACAAGTTTCATAGGGTGCTTACAAAAAACACTGCCAACAATAAGATGCCTTAAAAACATGTATATATGCTGCTTAGAAATCCACACTAAAATATTTTTTTTCCTTCTCTCTCTCTCTCTCTCTTTCTGATTTGGAAGTTCAGAGTCTTTGAAAAATGCTCTTAATGATATTTAATGTGTTATTTTTGTCCCTTGTGGAAAAAAAAAGTATAAAATAATCTCCTTTGGGAACCAAAAAAGAAACCTTTTCATGTTCACAGAACTAAAGTTACTTAATTCTGTGATGGTTCTTTGGCTTCAGTGGTCCTTACTCACGTTTGTTAAGGAATTCTTGTGGTTAGGAGAGCACAAGAGCGCTCATTCTTTGAGGATCTTCCAAGGTTCAAATGGGAATGCTTCAGGTTCACAGGAGACTAAACACCTCCTAGGAATATAACATTGATTTAAAATAATTAGAGAGTAATAAAACCTAGCCAACAATATATTCATCTATAAATCCAAAAGGATTTAGTTATATTTAGGTTGTACTTGATAATGCTTCATCAATAAAATTATAAAAATTAATTTTGTTTTCAAATCAGAGGAAATATGAAGATGAAAAACTAAAATCGAAAGACAAACCCAGACGCAAACAGAAGAATGAACAGCTTCACACCCCCTCTGAAGAAAAAAATCTCTTAAACCCAGGTCCATTTTATTAATAATATAAGTTTCTATAATCTGTTGACATTACAGGTAGTTTTTACAGTTAAATTTCACACTAAAGACAAACACTGTTTGCTTTAGGGAGCAGAAAGCTGAGTAACTTACATCCTTCATGTTACACATTGTATTTCAATAGTTTAAAACAATCTTTTACACCTTCTGGATTTCCGCATCAATGTACTATATGAAATTAATGAGGATTAAATGTATATATTGACAGGTGGCTCATTTGGGAACGTGAAGCCTTGAGCAAAGGCAAGCTTTCATAAAGCCAAAGGTGATTCTGGATTCTTCAATCCTATCCTGGCACTTGTTATTTTCGGCTTTTCTCCCACCACGAGCTAAACCCTAATTAAAATCGAAATCGCCAAAGATTAAGTGGTAGCAAAAAGCTATTAAAGCTGTCCTTAACTCCTGTCCCAGTGCTTCTTAAAATGTAGATATGCTTTCCACAGAATTCCACCTTGGCTGCTTCAAGCACCAGCATGTGCAGTTTGTGCATCAATGCATAATAAATGTTTGTGTTCTACATTTACATAAAATAGATGTTTGACCAAACTCAGCCCATTTGAACAGCCAAGGTTACAGACTTCAGCTTGGTACCACAGGGCTTGTCTGATCAGCTATAGTTAAGAAGTTGCAGCTATAAAAGAATATGACAATGGAAAACCTCTGAAGCCAACATGCAAAAGTCATTTTCAAAACTGCAAGCTAGGACTCAGCTGTTACTAAGAGAATATTCTGAAAAAGAGGTTTTCTTGCAACCATCTGTATCTGGTTTAATACACACACTGATGGAAGTTCATCCTTCACTGTGTTTTTGTTTTCCAAAATACATCAACACAGCTCAGTATACTAGAATGCTTCCAGCTTCATAAACAGCTTTTAAGTAACAGTACTATAG